GGTACTCTGTGACTTGGTAAGCTATTCAAATAGCTTTATAAAAGTCCACTTTTACCTGAAAGGTGTGAATAGTTCTTGCCCATGAATGTTTTATGCGACAACATCTCATTAGCTTCTTAAAATCCACAGTTACTTCCAAACCAGCCATATTATTAATGGTCAAAAATCTTCTCTTTACAAAAGTTACATCGGTTACATCCTGTCACCAAAATAAAGAATTATTTTGCATGTCTTCAAATACGCACACAGTAAAGATATTCTATCTTTGGGTGGAACATAAAATATAAGCATCTTATAAGTAAAATAGCATGTATATTCATTACAATTAAGAATTTCAAAAGGCTTAAAATCTAAACTTGAGCACAAACAATATATCCACATCAAATATTTGAATAAACACAAATAGAAGTTTTCAGTCCTTGAAACTTAACTTCAATTTTACTCTGTGAAGAATAGTCTATGTTCTTTCTTATTTTGAAATTTAATATTTCATTTCTTATATTGACTAAATAAGTCTGTAAAGACTCTGAAAAGCTTGCTTTTCTTCACAGCTTTCAAAGAATATTGTAAGTTTAGGAGGGTGTCTACACAATCAGAACAAATAACAAGGCAACCACTTCTATAGTTTCTATATTTAAGCAGCAACCAAGGAAATGATGCTTTTTAAAATATGGGTCTCACTTGTGCCTTGTTTTTTGTTACTCAAATATTTCAACTTTCTTAAAAATATGTTCCTTCACAAAGTCTTCCAGAAAATAAGAAGAAGGAGCACTTCCCAACTCATTTTATGAGGCCGGCATTATTCTGATACCAAAACCAGACAAGATATCACTAGAAAACTACAAACCAATATCCCTCATAAACATGGATGCAAAAATCCTTAACAAAAAATTACACAACAAGAATGTCAACTCTCATATAATCAGATTCTGAATCAATCGTAGCACAATTAAAAAACCCAAATATATATCTCTAATCAGTAAAAAGGTATTATTTTCCATTGTCACTTACATTTGTAATGAAAAATATTTCTCCATTGCACAGTCGAATATTACTTTCGAAGTCATGCTTATTTTTAGAAAAGTCACGAGGAGTACGACTGGCATCTAGATCACTGTCTTGCTGACTTCCAGAGGTATTTTCAGGCAGTAACTCTGAGAGGTATGCATTTTTGGTACAACAAATTTTATCACCAATTCCAAATACAAGTCTGTTCTGATGGTCTCTGGGTTAGAAAATACATAATCAAAGTTTGGAAAGTTTCAATTTAATTTGTTTAAACATTAACTCCCACTCAGATGTGATCCAATTATCAAAATGATTTCCGCACTCTCTGTACATCACTTTCATTCTCCAATGGTCAGCAAGAGATCAGGCTCCCACAGCTGTCATTAGACTATTTACACACACAGCATCTCCTCAAACTCAATGACACTTCCCAGCCAAATACTTTCAAGTTAGAAATTTTGGCATAAATGCTAATGTCTCTCTTTCCCTCTATATTCTAAGTTACCAAAAATCTCACTGATTCTTCCTTTAAAATTCATCCTTCCTCTCCAATCTCTCCTATTACTACCCTATTTCAGGTCCTACAACATATTTCTGTTGTAATGATTATGACACTGTATCAGAATACCAG